TAGACAGGTCTGTGTAGCCCTGGATAGCCTCGAACTCACTATGTAGAGCAGGCTGACCTCGTACTCATGGAGAACAGCCTGCCTTTGCCTCCTGAGTGCTGGGATTCAAAGTGTGTGAACCACCATGTCTGGCTTATTATCCTTTTTAGATGTGGCTAGATTTTAGTCATTTGCATTCTGAGAAACTTTGTCCTCATTGACAGATCTTACAATTTTAATATCTGCCTTGATCACATAGCCAGTAGTAGAGTTGTGAAACGGTAATTCATTGTTCCTCTCCAGTCTCCACGCTCTTTACCATTCACCTACTTGTTTTGCTGTTTTGATTTAAATCATATCGGAGCCATACTCAGCTCAGAGATAAAGGCCTTACCTTATATGATATATATTATTTGAGATGATGTATCCCGTTTATTGTCAATTTTGCTTGATGTGTACTTATTCAATATATATAGAAAAGGACACAACATTGGAAGTGATGCATTGAAGTCTCTGACTATTATTGTATAAGAACCTACATGACATTTTCTTTTAGTATTTGTTTTATTATGTCTTCTTGATGAATTGTTTCCTTTATTAGTAAGTAGGGGCTCTTTATCTGTTCTGAGTAGTTTTTTTCTTAAAATCCTCTTTACCAAACAGGAGAATTGCTATGCCACATTTATACATACTTGGTATGCTGATTTCTGGCTTTTTACTCAACTTTTGGATATTTTCCTTCTCAGGTGTGTCTTGGAGAAATCAGATAGTTGGATATTATTTTTAACCCAGTCAGTTAACCCGTGACTTCTAATTGGTGAGTAGAGGGTATTTTGATTTAACATTATTGTTCCAAGTGATTTGCTATTTGCCTTGATTATTTTGTTGTGGACGTGGTGATTGGTCAGCCTATTAGTCCTCTCTTCTTCCCCCAGTGTCCAGATTGGCTGTGATGAACATAATGGATTCCTTCCTGGTCTTCTCTTTTCATCTCTTCCTCTCACGGAATGTGCTCTTTCCTGTGTTCTTGATGAGACTTTCTCATATACTATTTTATCCCTAGGAATTTTCTGCAATACTGGTTTGGTAGACATTAATGACCTTAATGTGTTCTTGACTTGCACTGTGATTTTTCTATTAATTTGAAGAGATAACTGTCAAGTGTAGCAATCTTGGCTGATATGTATGTACTTTGGGTGCTTAAAATATGACATCCCATGCTTTCCTGGTCTTTAACCTTGTTTATGAGACATCCACTGTTATTCTGATATTGCTGCTTTGAGTGTGAGCTGGTGATTTTCCTTACAGCTTTAAATATTATCTCTTTCTTCTTTACTTCTGGTCTATGCCATGTCATAGAGATTCTTTTCTGTTCTCTAGCTGTGTCTTTTGGGTTCCAAATGCATCCTATATTCTTTTCTAGGTTTGGAAAATTTACTACAATATTTTAATTCAATAAATTGTCTACCTTTTCAGAATTTATTTCAACTTCTTCTGACTTATGCATTCTTATGTTTGGTCTCTTGACTGTGTCTTGGAAGCTCTTGGAAGTTTTGGATGTGTTCATTAATTTACTTTCTCCACGTTTCTGGTTGTATTGCTGTTTTGATGCTGTCTTCTGTCTCTTAAGGTCATTAGACTTCCTGGTCTGGTTTGTTAATGATGCTTTCCACTGTATTTTATCTTATTAATTCCTGCATTTCTGGCATTTATGTTTGGTTCATGTTAAGAGCCTCAATTTTCTTGCTGAATTTTTCCTCTAGATTTGTGAATTCCTCACGGAAGTTTCCATTTCAGCCACTTGAAAACTTTTTGACCAATCAATCCTCAGCTAATTCACTTACTTTGATCATTTGCTTCTTTGAGTCTCGTATGTGCTCATCGATACCCTTCAGAGGACTCTGCAATCTTTGTCCAGCATTAAGGCGTCTCCTTTTCTGTGGTGTCCAGCACTGAGGTGGGAACTTGCGGAGGTGTCGCGGTGGGTGCTGTCACATATTTATGTTTCTTAGTTGTGTTGTGAACATCTGTGGTGATGAATCTCTCCTTAGTCTTGTGGGGTTTTTTCCTTCTGTTTGTTTCATTTTATGTGAGTTCTTCTGAGTGTCTTCACTTAGATGTCTGTTTCCTGTTGCTATTTATCAGGACGGTAACTGCACTAACAGGCACAATGGTTTAACAAAAGTCCCAGACACTG